CAGGAAGGTGATTGCTGTGACTCGTTGCAAGGGGAAGGAAGAAGAGTCTCCTCTGGGAGGGCAGTGGGAACGGCAGGCACAGCCAGCTCTGGAGCCGGGTGGCTGGGAAGGGGGGGAAGCTGGAGAGAAGGGGTGAGTGCCAAAGGCTGGCCTCTGGTTTGTGGTAGTGGATGATGAGCACTGTTTTCATCAAGTGGGAGTTAACAAACCTTTTGCTTCTCATTTTTAAGATGCTTCGCAAAGTTTCTCATTAGTTTATTATTATCATTATTTTTCTATTTAAGATAACAGTGAACCTTTTTCTGCGGTGGATTATATGCGGTGCCACATGGTCTCACTGTGGATATTGAGACACAGAAATGTGCCCAAACCTTCCACTCCGTGAAAGCTGTGCTAGAATTAGGTAACTGTTAGGCCCCTTGTTCTTCCTTCTCTAGCCCTGGACACACCGCATTAATTATTTCTAGGGGTGTACTTGGAGGCTGCTTAATAGCTTGGTTCACTAATCATGTAACAGTTTGTTCAGTAAAATAGAAGGCAACAACTAATGAATATTACTTCTGATTTCTCTGAGAGTGTAGAAGTTATGTTTTTGACAGATCTACGTGTTTCCTGTGTTTGATTTTATTTACTGTTGATGCTGACTCATGCCCTTATGTTTCCCCTAGAGAATAATCATAAAACTGCTCAAAAATGGGTGAACTGATAAGGAAAGGGATCCAATAAAAAAAAAAAAAAAGAAAAAAAGGAAAAAAAGGAAAAAAAGGAGAGAGAACAGTCAAACTTCAAACTATTTAAACTTGCTATTTCAAAGCAGCAAGCAACTTCTAAAGCACAGGTCAGCTGGTACTGGTCTTATTGCTGTTACCATAGCAGAAACACAGAAATGTGATTAAATAAATAAAGCTAATCAGAAGCAAAAAACCAAGTTTGCAGTAAAAACAGCTCAAGTTAACTTATTCTCAGAGGACTTTGAAAGAAAACATACTTCTAAAGATGTGCTGTGAGAGATTTTAGGCACAGCTGCAGGAAAAAAAAAAAAGGTATCCTTTCCCTTTCTTTAGAAGGATTAAATCTGTCCTGGAAATTAACCAAAGTGGACAAATGGGCCATCATACAGAAACAACAGATTGAGGCCCCGAATGTGAAATACTATGAGAAAGAAGAAAAATGTCCTGGAAAAAGGCTACTGGATCTTTTTAAGGAACTTTAATGACAGAATAAGCAACCCGGGCACATTAATTCTATCTTTACTTGTCTTTTGTGATACGGAAAGTATCCTAAAAGGAATTAAAAAAAAAAAAAAAAATTCTAGCAGACAAAACCAGATAACAATTCCCCTCGTCTGAGTCTATAAATCCATAAAATATGTAAGTTTATATAAATCTATGGATGTCACACTCTTCTACAGGAGGTAAGGTAACATTTTCCAAGTTATAAAGGACATGAAAATGTCTGATCTCTGTAGCTGGATGTGTAACCTGTCTCTTGTTATTTAAAGCAGGTCTTCTGATCCCTCTACAAATGTTACTGAAGTCCTAAAAAAAAGGAACAAAACTCAAGTCTTAATCTCCTAGATGTAGCATAGGGCAGCGATTGAGAGTACTGAGGCTCGATGCTTACAACTAGAGGAGTTTACCTCTGAACTGGAATGGAGTAAAAGGATGGAGTTGTAAAGACCAGAAGGCATTACTAAGATCAGCGTTTTGCAGTTAAGCTGTGGATCTGGGAGGCGGTTTTAAAGTCTGTTCCCATGGCTGAGCAAAATTCCTGCAGCATGGGTGTCATGCTGTAGAGCTGGAGCATATTTGCTGGGACTGTGGATAGCCAGAAGTCTTGCTGTTCAGCGAGATGACTGTTTTTTCTCAGCTTGACAAATGACATGCAGCACTGACAGAATACTTCTCCTTTGCTGGCCATCACCCCTACGGACACTGGCCAGAACAGCAGCAGCAGGAACATACCCTCCAACTCTTGATTTAATCACACGGAGCCCAGGAGACTAGTGAATAGAGCTGTTAACTCTCTGTTTGGTTTGCTTTTCCCATCTGTGTTTTATTAAACTCAGAGCAAGATTTATTCACTTTTTTAACATCAGGAGCTGTTGGTGTCCAAGATGATGGTTCACGTTAAGGTATACATGTACAATTTAACCTGGCTGAGGGCCAACGAGGCCTACGATTTCCAGCCTAGACAATTTATTTGCAAAAGGACACAAAATCCCTCTGCTCTCAGATGTTTCTGAAAGGATGAGCATGACTTCCCGCTCTCCCAGGAACACAATACAGAAAGAACACAGTAAAACAGTAGGCTCTCCAGGATGAGCCAGGCTCTCCAGGCATGCAGGCAAACACTTCAGTTTTACTTTACTCCTGACAGCCCCTACATAGTCACAACTACCAACGATTTTCTGATTTCCACTCCAGGAATCTTAAATAGATTGGAGATACCAGCTCAGTGTATAAATATTTCTTCTAAAAGCCAAGAATCCTGAATGGCTCAGCTGGGGAATTGCACTTTATGGGAACTGAAATTATGTGCCAGGCTCTCGTCTGTAAGGTGGGATAGCTGAAGCACAGACACTCGCATGCCTAATCAGCTACTGCCAGAATAACACTCGCTTCGAAGGGAGGAGAAAAGATGGGATTTTGAATTCCTTCAAAAAGATAAACTTTTCCTCAAACAATGGAGCTCACTCACTCAAGATAGAAAGATCAAGTGCGCATTTTTCAGAACTGTAAAGAGGTTTGGTGGTTTTTTTTTTGAAATATGTAAGTTTCAAGCAATAACAGATAAAGCTCCCAAAATAGTTTCAATGCAAACAGCCTCCAACATTCTTGACACTTTTCCAGAACTTCTGGGCATTTTCTTCTTAACAGCATGCTCCTTTCCAAAATGTACCACTCTCCCCCTCATCTCTTAATCATCACTCATCAAAATGAACATGGTGACATCTACTTTCTCTATTGCCTTGCTACTATCCCCGCAAGCACACCGTGGATCACCAAGTTTGCCAGATTTGTCGTCATCTGCAAAACCTCTGCATTCTGGTCTTCCCAGGCAAATGCCTTCATAACGTATGAATATCATATTGACTGTGGCATCTACACAGAGCATCATCGTATTACAATGATTCTTCTAATACCAAGGCGCATGGTATGAGCCCACATGGCAATAAAAAGTATTCTGAATACAGGACAAAATTGTTATTACAATAGACCTTAGAAAATAAACTGTATCTCTCAAAGTTTATTCAAAGCCCACCATTGGTTTGCTTAAATCAATATTTCTGTCACTCACATATCCATCTTCCCCAGGAACTTTAACGTAGGCCGCAGAATCTGTTTCTGTACATGATAGTTCCTCATCTGGCTTGACTTTCAACGTTAACAAAAAAACATGACTTTTGTAACTGTTTCGAGAAGAATGGTCTTTTTTTTCCATGCTTTCACATTTTTATCATCTGTGAGATGACAGTAGGAGCTGTGCATGAGCCAGTACAAATTAAGCAGTATTCATGCACTTTCTCTTTTATAACTTTTAAGAATACTGGCAGAAAATGATGGAATCTGCAAGTTTCAGTTTTCTTGGTTTCTAATGAAAAAAGAATTTGAATTGTATGCAGTGTTAACTCAAAGTGAGGAACTTGGTCACTGTACTGAGCCGCATCCTTCAGACCCAGTGCTGTTTATGCATTATATTCACTACATTAACAGCAGCCTGTATGAGAACGATTCCTATAGCAGGCAGCAGACCCCAGGAGAGAAACCTAATCCTCGAGCACTGTGTTAAAAGCTGAGTAATTTAAGTTTTCGAATGAAGACCTACGTGTCCGGAGTGTTCTGCACCAAACTGAATTCTCCACCGTGTTAACTATGCCTGAAGCTACGGTTCCCTCAGCCCCCCCATCTCCCTTTTGGGGAGTACAGGTACGAGGTTAAAGCAGTATTACAGGAACCTTGATTTGGGCACGAGAAAGGTGTCAGGGTGACCCATCCCGCTGAGGAAGTTGCCTCTCGTCACACACGGTCGCACGCCTTGTCAATGCTTGAGCACTGTTGCGGGGAGCGAGAACACAGGGCTGCTTAGGTGAGCTGAGTCACTGTTCGATGTAGGTGCCAAAGTTGGTGGGGGTTTTTAGGGTTTTTGTTTGTTTGTTTGTTTTTCTCCTTAATTCTTAAGTTTTAGCTTGGTTCTGCTTAGACACCGCAAGAAGTCCCTCAGGATCAGCAGTAGCTGGTAGCGTTGCTTGAATACCATTGCAAAGTTCCTCTTTCTCTGTCAGTGTGAGCACAGAAAGCGGTCCAACTCCACATACTTGGTACAGGGATTTTGATCATACACAGAAAAATAATGCTGTTTATCCAAGAAGGCTATAGAAGTACTGTTATGCAAAAATGGCTTCTTTTTCTGCAAAACTACCCCTTTTTACAGAAGATTATTTAGAAGTCACAAAAACTGCAAAGAAGGCCCTGTGCCAAAAGTTGTTTCATTGAATATTTAGAGAAATTCTAAAGTAGCGTAAGTAAAATAAATACAGAAGTGTCTGTAAAAATTATATTGCAGAAGAGAAACCTGGATAAGTATCATCCCATCCAACTGCTTAAAGTACTTAGTCCAAGATTAGTGAAAATGAATCCCTCTGAAGACTCTAATTACTTGCTAAAACAACTGTCAAATTGCCATTTGTATAACCATTAAAATATTAGGATAGACTCAATTTGCCTCTTCATGCAGTGTACTTTATTTATAAGTCTTTTGTTAATTTTGGTATGAGTTCAGCTGTGTTCATAATGAACCGACATTTTCAGATGTCACTGCCCGTAGGTGTAATAATCCCAAGTTAATTCCTTCTGCAGATTTTCAGCAATGAATACACTAGATCTAGGGTCGAGTTTTATTCTGTTTTTTTACCAAATATTCTTTGCAACTACAGATGTTTAATTAAAGGCTGTTAGACAATTTAAACTTCTCAGAAGAATACAAATAAAAGCTGTTAATGAAGTAAATATCTGTTTAATTTACAAACATCAGTAGCATTACTGATATCAGTCCAAATAAGACAAAGCACACTGCATTACACATGTACATCTAACTTTTTTTTGTAAAAAAAATAATAAAATAAAATTGAAAAACATCTGCATTTTTACAGGGTACCCTGGGTTTTACTGAAAGAAGAACACAACCCACTATTGATTACCAATTCTACATTATAATTTAGCAGCAACATGTTAACGTGGGGAACATTAGGGCAGTAAAGTAGTTTTATTATTTGGGGAAAGTCACAGTTCTTGATAGCACAGCCTTTTTTTCTTTTTTTATAAAAAAGGTAAAGAGCTCCACGGGAATATTAATTTATAAAGATCTACCTTCTAATGTCATTTTCTACACGCCATCTTATTTTCTGTAAGTACTGTATATAAGGAAAATTAACTTCTCTACAATTGCCACCTAGTGTAAAGACATTTTCTGTCATACATTACAGGTTCTTGGAAGGTGTCCTGAATATCTGCTGCATGTGAAAACTGCAGATTGTCATCACTTTCAGATTCAGTGACACCAAGTGGTCAGATTCTATGGAAAAGAAAAAGGGGAGGGGAAGGGGAGGAAAAAACAGACCGAAAACATTTACCCCAAGACGACATGCTACGTTAGTTCTATTGCAAAAAATCCTGATTTTTAAGTCCTTTAAAAAAAAATAAAAAAAATTACAAAAATACTGGGACAAATATAAATTAATATATATTAAAGCATTGAAAAACAGTAAAAGGGATGGCCTAAAAGGGTTAAGTACAATGTACTTTGATACAATAAATATTTCTCAATGAAACCGAATACTGTATAGAGTTGTTTAGACCTCATAGAAACAGAAATCCATATTATTACTAATTTATCCATCAATAATCTATTTTTATCATCCCCAAAACATTTATATTACAAAAAATTAATACTGGAAAAGGGCAGATAAACACTTTTTTATGCTTCTTTTGCTAACATGCTGACATAAAAGTATACATCATCAGGAGATGTCAGGATTATAGTATATTCTCATATCTCCCATTGCCCATCCATTAAATGGGACCCCATCTTCTCAAGATGATTAATAATTCCAAAAGATAAAATGTATTATTTCACACAATTGTTATTTCTGTATAATCTGATTCTTTTCACTTGTAATGCTTCCTCATCCATAGGTAAGTGATTGCTATGGTCTGCCAAGACAGTAAAATATACTGATACAAAAGTGAAAAAAACAGCCTCATGTTCTGGCCAATATTTCATCTCTGAGCTGTTAAGTTGAAAGTCACGTGTGTATAGTGTCAGTGTATCTTCAGCATGTTATAAAGAAGAATCCATGTTAAAAGCAGTTAAAGTTTCCCATCTCTGTTGCAATGTTACCAGGTCTTTTTTTTTTTTTCTTCAAAGCTCCTCTTGGTTATGAGAAGTCTCAGTTCAAGCACTTGAATCTTTTTTTTTCAAATGAAGAAAAAGTCTTTATTCTCATAATAAAAATAAGTCTGTTCTGTATTTTACAATATATTTCAAATATTTCCACTATGAAGCATTAATTAGTCCGACACGGTCAATAAGTATACAACATTTTCAAAAGACAAGTGTGACAGGGACACTTAGGAGGGACAATTTGTACAGCCACACTTCACCACTTTTTCAACCTCATCCACAAATGACGACCCGTCAGTGCATTCAAAAGAGTATTTCCGCCTCTTGCTCCTCAGTGGTCCACAGCACTGCCCAGTTGAACATCCTCCTTTACATTCTAGTCTCGATACCTTCTTGGTCGTCTGACACGCAGCATACCCTTGCTGCTTTTGGTAGTAATCTCGGATTCGTTCCCCTCGACAAGAGATTTCTGTAGAAAACAACATTTACAATAAGAGATACGCTTTTGAGACGCAGGTCAAATAACGGCTGACATTGCTAAGGAAGATGCTGTGTTTCTAACTGCAGTTCGGATTGATATTTTAAAGTTTGACTCAGACTGTATATTGGAAACTAGTGGTTCTACCAAACGTAATTTGATTAATGCTGAGTTTTATTTCCTATCCCTCCTATTTTCAGTAAAGTTTATATTATGTATATGTAAACCATAAATACAAAGCTATTACAATGACAAGAAAATTGGAAGCTTAAATCTTTTCCTCTTTTATAAAAATACACATCTTCTGTTCCTACATTGCTTGCAGCTGGTTCTATTTACCATAGGGAAATGTTTCAGAGAGCATGCAATTTAATTTATTAGACCTGGAGTTTAATATTATTCAAACTGTTATTTAATACAAGTTACATTCCACTAACTTCATAAATTACTGAGGTATAAAACTAGCTAAAAATGAGACATCTGTTCAAGGTTCTACAACCATATTCTTCTATTCTACTCACATCTATGTACAATACAAAATAAATGCCATCTGGGGTACGGGAAAGAGAGGGAGAGGGAGAGCTTTGATAGACAAAGGAAAAAGAAAAAGGTAGGGGGAAAAGTCATCCTGTTTTCATCCATCTCACCTGCATAATTCGCTGTGATAAATCAGTTGAAGCTGAGAGGTCAAAAGTAGAGTTTGTGATAAAACTAGGAGCAGAATCATTGGATTTGGCTTCTCAGTTGCAGAAGGCAGAGAAACAATAAATACAGAAAGATACAGCAGGTAAAAGGTAGTAGTTAAATATAGTAAAAATGTGTTTCTGAATAAAGGCAAAAAAGAGAAATGTTTTCACAGCAAAACATTTGATGAAAAAATCCTCAAAATGTAAACAAATTCATGGGAAAAGTTTGATTTTTCTCTCATTGAGATAAATTCTTATGGTAAAAAAAAAAAGCAACAAATGTGTGTGTTGTGGGAAAAAAAAGTGGGTAATGTTTTTGGCTGTTCATGTTTTAATAAAAAAGCTCATTTCCAAGACGAACAACATGATTTTAAATTTTTTTTTTTACCTTTATCACAGCTGTCCCCCGTGTATCCGCTGCTGCATTCGCAATATGGTTTTCCAAGTCCTGAAAGCCTGCATTTGCCATGTTTACACCTGACGGATTGGCAGGGGTTAAACAGCATTTCCTCTTCATCACAGAGGACTCCCCCATGTCCCTGCAGGCATTTACAACTGTATGAAAACGCATTGATCGGCAAGCAGGTACCATGCACACATCTACAGGGGAAACAAGCCCAAGAGAATAAAAATAAATTATTCATCAAAGTTCAGGCTAAGCAACATTAACTACAAATACTTTGGACTGTACTCAGAAGAAATTGCTTTTGTTTCTAATGGATTTTTTCAGTGAGATGCAGTGAAGTGGTTTATAATTGGTATGCAGGTTTACACTACACAAGCTGCAGTACAGAACTCTTGTGTCACCAGAAAACAGCCGCTGTAGATGTGTTATGGAAGACTTTTACAGGCCACAGTTCTTAAAACCAACATTTCCTGTCTACCTAAATTTTCAGCATGCTTTTGAGATGAACACAGCAAAATCAAGACCAAATATAATCCACTAGAATGAAGTACAGAAAAAGGATACTCACCTGAATTTTTGGTTCTTGTATCATTTAAAAACCCCACGTATTGTCACTTATGAAGTATGGGGCTCCCAGCACAAAGACAGGTCAGGCACTTCCTAACTGAAACTTCTCTGACCCAGCAATGGGAGCTTCAAAGCTGAACACATGCTCCCCATCAAATACAGTAGTCTGCACTGCCAACTGCCAGTAGCGTGGCCATATAATGTGCGAGGAGATTCTTCACTCCACTGAAAGCCAGCAGCACTCATCTAATACTCATGCAGAAACTCATACTAGATGAGGTTGCATATTATCAAGTCTCACGCAAGTGATTAAACTAGCTAGTCTCTCAGCTGAGCTTTGGTAAACATTTGTAGCAGGCTCAAATCTTGTTGTTAAACAAAAAAGGCTGCGCGTTAAGCTGCATCTGCTAAGTTCTGATGTACAGTATGGAAACACATAGCTGGTCTTACTTCTCTTGAGAGAGAGGTGGTGTTTCCCAAGAGGAGGACGTTTAGTTACCTGTTCCTAGGTGTGAATTCATCTTCTGAAAACATCACCAATGACTTGGAATAAAATCACTTCCCTTTGTTCATTTGGTGGCACAGGGTCAATAACTTTCTTCCTAGAAATAACGCTATTTTCTTTAACTGTTGTCTTGATACAGAAGTTTTCTATCGACACAGTGTTTCCTAGGGAGACCGCAGTGAAGATTCCTCTGTAGGGAGGAATGCAATCCTGTCGTTTATGGTCACAGTCACCCTCCCTAATGTTTCTCCTCTCTGTATTGTAAGATCGCTGAGCACACAGCCTCCTTAGCAGGTTGTGGCAGCCAACTAACTAACTAACTAACTAAATAAATAAATAAATAAAAAGCTTTAGATAAAAAAGAATCCCCTTCAATCTAAAATAAAATCCTTTTTTTAAATTTGAAGATGGTAAAATTCATATAAAATTGCATTTCATAGTAAAAGAAGAGTTCTGTTAAGAACAATGTCTCATTTTAAAATTTTTAGATAACAATCCGTATTTCTGGAAACTTTTTGCTTTGTGCTCTACTCCTTCAGTACAGTAAGAAATTTGGTAAAATTGAAAAGAATGCACAACACTTTTTAACTTTGACAAACTTGCATTAACTATTTAAACCTGTTTCAGTTTATAAACATCAACACGTTTTACTCATCAATGAAATCAACATTACAACTCTCTATCTGTACCCTTAATTCTGTGCAAGTGCTTTAGCATGGTGTAACTAGGAGGAAAAAGTATGGGTAGTCAGTGTCATCACAGGATATTCAAATGGAAGGCACAACACATTGCCTACATCCACATATCCAGTTTGGGATTAAACACTGCAACTATAAAACATAACTAATAGCTTAAGCACCTCCAACTTCCCTATTATGCAAGAGTCTGTACTTTTGAGGCAATTATGTTCCCTAAAAAATTCCAAATTGTTCCGGTGGTTGAAATCTGATATTCCAAGACTGTTAGATCAAGCAACTCAAAATTGAAAGCTTAGACAGTATCACAAGGCAGATAGCTTTTGTTTAGTTTTCATTGTCTTTAGCATTTGATCTGTTCACCATTTACAAAACAACCACTTTTAGGACATCTGGTCTACGAAGTTACTCAGGTGACACTGACATCATGTCATATTCTATACAGGCTGTTTTAGATGTAAAAGCAATCTGTGTCATGATCTTTGGTAAAGTTCTGCTTGACTGAGAAGATGATTAAATCTTAGCTAAGGCCAACTTTCATACTTTTGCTTCCACCTGTTCTTTGAAGCCCTAAATTTCATCTTCAGACGGTACTGAAAGGAACATCAAGCAAAGTGCAAACTCTCAGGCACAGTTTCATCTGATCTAATTTTAGGTACCTATGTCAGGCACTCAAGTTAGATGTATAATTGCCATAAGCTCCCCACACAGTCATGGTGAGAGATGAGCTTATCCAGAGGGTGATTAGACCACCTGAGGTCTAATTCGCTCTTTAGAAACCTGTTTATTCCTTTACTGACTATAGAGCAAACTTTGGTCACTGTGTTCCTAAGTCAAGCACCTAGCCTCTTCATGGTGTACATGGATCTCTAAAAGTTCCACTACATTTTCAAAACAGAGATCACAGTGATAAGTCTGTTTCTCAGATAAAGTGGAATGTTATACTGTAGTAGATGGACAAAATGCACCTATTCAATAGACAAGATTAAGAGATGAATCAAGAAATACAGAATCAAATTCCCTAGAAACTAAACAACAAAACCCTCTTTCACTCCAAATAAACAATTTTGGTTTGGTTTTCTCTCCTAGAAGTTCACAGCTGAAACAAAACCAATACTTTCAAGAGCTAACAAAATACTTAACTCTATCTTTGATACTGCCTGTATCTGATACTTGCCAAGTTTTGTAATTTACTGCAGAAAGCACTCAGTCTGGGTGATGATGTGTATAGTTATAAGAAACTATACAGAATATAATTTTTCAAGGACAGTTCAAAGAAACCCTTTGGGTTTTCTCATTGTAGAAATTGATGGTTACAGTTCCATGTTATTTTTGACTCCTAAAGTATAAAATAGATGTGATAGACATCATAGAATCCTAGAATGGTTTGGGTTGGAAGGGACCTTAAAGATCATCTAGTTCCAACCCCCCTGCCATGGGCAGGGACACCCTCCACTAGACCAGGTTGCCCAAAGCTCCATCCAACCTGGCCTTGAACACTTCCAGGGATGGGGCATCCACAAGTTCATCACATTTGTATTTTTTCATACATCGTATTTTATATTTTTTAACCTGCTGTGACTTCTTTGCTTTATCTCTTAAGTTACTGTGAAAGAGAACAGGGTAAGAAAAAGACCCATAAACAATGAAGTGCTATAATGATATGCCTCAAAAATTCACTGCTATGGCTTTGGGAAGAGTTCAAAACTTAATAGTACTGAAAGAGTCCATAACCAATGTAAACAATGCTAACTGCATTGTAAAGCATGCTAACTGGTTTATAAAGCTTTAAAGAGTCAGATTCTCCACACACACTATGTGAAAAGATCACTTAAACATGATTTTATATGCGAGTTGAAAATCATCTTATTAGAATCTCTTAGCAAAGTCAGGCCACTTGTCCTCAAAAGTCAAAAGTTATATAGGCCAGAACACTGAAAAAGCAGCAGCAGAAGATCCAAGCAGGCTTACTTTAAAAAAAAAAAAAAAAAACAAAAACCAAAACCTGTTTGCCAAACTGTAGTAAGAACAAGAGCAAACAGAATGACATCTTGTTGCCCATGACTAATAGATCCTGAAGAACTTTGAACTTCTGAAGTTTCTGATCTTCTTGTGCTGGGAGACCATGAGCCAAAAAATTAAATCTGTATCTATAGTAAATTTAAAAGATGAATATGCATAAATATCAATACTCTCATATACACATATATACATATCTTTCACTCTCTCTCTACACACATATATAGATAACCCTCTCTATAAACCTATATAAAATGTCCAACCTAAAATGTCAAATCAGCAAAAAGAATTAGCACATACAGACTTACACAGAAGTTTACCATAAAGGTAGAAATCTATTTTCCTGCTAAAACCTGGGGTACTGTGAAAATGCAAAAATATTAGATGTATCTGTTGTATCAAGTTTTTGAAACACATTAGATGATGATGATGATAATTATAATTATTTCTCATTCTATACAATCAGAAATAAGCAAGCAAATATTTTTTCCATTTGCAATGATTAAATGATTTTTGTACCAAGTGTCTACCAACACTTGCATCAGTGTAACTCATTACAGAAGCAGCCCATACAGAAGTAAGAGCATATCCCAGGCTTTAGGCAGAACTTCAATGAGATGTGTGTATCTGCTCCCCTAAACTGGGGAATTTCTGCATTAAGTTTATGAAAAGAATATACTATAACCTGGACGCTGTTTTGACTTTTACATGCCCAGGATATTTTATTTCTTACTGACAAAAAGTGTGAACTTTTATGAAAAAAATGCACATAACAGGAGACTTATATGCATATTATACTACTGTTCTGTCTTGAGGAAGGACATACTTATTTCCAAGACATGGGTCATTAGTTTGTTGATCACAGAGGGGTCCAGTCCATCCTCCTTCGCACTCACAGGAAAAGCCTGACTGGCTGGTAGCATGGCATGTTCCATGCACACAAACTTTCTTATGACAAGGCTCGCAACCTGGCAGAATTCCCACTTGCAGTGGCACATTTCTGAAGTCCTGGAGCTCGCTGTTGATATACAGATTACGGATGCAACCATGGAAGCTGGTGCCGTTCTGTCCCGGAGACTGGCGTAAAGCTGCTATGTTATTTTTCACAGGCATGCCTAGGAAATGAATAATAGCAAATAATCAACGTAATCTCTGGTACCACTTTCTATACCATTTCCCCTATTTTTTAAACATTTTAAAAGAAATATTTCTTCCTAATTAATTATTCTTGGATATTCAGTCTACAACATGAGCAATGATCTAGTATTTGGAAATTGTCCTGGTTGTCAAGCATACATGTCAACCAGCTCCAGACCCGTAAGTCTCGGGGTCCAACTAAAGAGATATATATAGAACTTCCTACAGGAAGGTCACAACTGTGAAAAGGTTCAGATACATGCCTGGTTTTGACCAGGCATTTAAGACCAGGATAGTGTATAGTTTCTGAATCTTGGAACACCAAAAGTTCTTGAAATTTAGCAGTTGATATATGATTTTTTGTAAGCTGCTATGATACTCAAATCCAGAAGAATTTAGTAGGACCAGGTCATCAATTTGGACCTGGCATATGCATTTCAGATGTGAAATTTTGCTAGTGAAATTTCTTGGAAGGAAAAGCTCAACAGGAGGAAGTTCCATTACTTTCAAAAATATTTTTGTTCAGTATGTCTCAAAAACAGATTAATACAAAAGGCACTCATAGTTTGCCATTACAGTTTTAAACAAAGATAGTGAATAATAACAATAAATGATCGTCAAAATACTTATGTATAGATATTTCTAGATGGTACAAATGCTCTTGATGTTGACCATTTTCAGAGTAATTCCTCTGTTGTAGTCTATAATTGTTACAGGTGTAATTGGAGCAGGAGATGTATGCAATGCAGTTATCCTGTTGTGATCAGTTAATCATTTAAGACTAATTCAGAAGGAACATTTCTGTTAAACATTCTTTCCTTGTAGTTGAAGTTTCTATGAAGTTTCTTCCACTTTTTTTTTTTTACACTTATTGCCAACATATTGGCCTATATTAGTTAGTCCTTAAGATATTACATTCAAATAACTAATACACAAATGCCTAAATACCACCTGAGTCGAATAAGGAAAGGAAATAAAACTCTACTGAGCATTAGAAAAGGATCTGTTTATCTGAAAATAAATGTGCTTATTAACTGCACAGGTTTATTCATAGGCAAAATTAACAATTTTCATTCTGGTACTTAGTAAGATAACAACCACCGAAAGAGGTAATGTTCTGCATAGTTGCTCCTTAACCATGTAAACTGATACTTCTCATGGTTTTATATAGTTACTCTGAACAGTTAAGAGTAATGCAGAAGTGCTACACAACCTAATGAAGTAGACCTGCCTTTCATTTAGAGGTTATTATAACTTAATTTGTGGTAAGCTTCAGTGATTATAGAAATAAACAATATTGCATCCATACTACTGAAGAGTCTAATCGTCTTTGATCTTATCAGTTAAGTAAAATAGGATTGGGACTATTACATTAAAGGACTCGGACTGCAAACAATCACTAGTTTCCATTTCCTCAAAACTATTTGCCATATTCTCAAATTCTTGGGACAAGGCAATGTCATCAAGGCCTCTTCACCCTGATATCTCCTTGGAAAGCAACACTCAGCAAATGTTTAGCCATATGGCCTGAGGTATCTAATAGCAGAATAGATGCACTGAATTTATCTATTGTAAAAATAAAAGCTGCATAAAACTAAGTATACCAATGCAATGCTAAACTAGATGTTATACTTGTAAGTGTCAGGAAATTTAGATATGATTTCTGGGAACCGTATAAGCATGTATCACACCAGATACTATGAGGTATATCATATGTGATACAGAGAATTTTTTGTCTATGATCTCTAATATGGAAGACATTTGGAAACACAATGCAAGCATATACACAAGCTTTTAGCCTATACACTTTTTGCTTCTTCTAGCAAGTTAACAAGTGTTAGAAGGCCAAAGTGTGTATAAAAGCTGCTCATATTCTTTAGCAATATTTCCTAGGTAATTTTTAGATAAAAGTTCTTTATCAGTTAGGAAAGAACTGCCATAGAAACAGTGCAGACAAATATTTCAGCTCTATTTTCCAAAAGGTAAGAACGTAGTTCCCATCTCCCTTTAAGCTTTTGGTCACTGAACCTGACTACAGGTAAATTACCAAGTTATTGTTCAAGGAGGCAAATGGTAAGACCCCTATTAAATAACAGTCATACAATAACACTGTCAAAACGAGTATCTCATTCAGAAGCTGCTAGAACAGATCAGGCACAAATGTAAAGCAGCTGATGCCCTACCTGCCTCAGAAATAGGGACTGCCATGAAACAAGGTGCCACTCTCAACTAGTAAAATATGTTCTAATTCCTGAGAGAAGAATGTGAAGTATCAGTGAAGTCTGTGACCCCTTTGAAGAGTTTTTGAGCAGAAACAGATTGTCCCTTAAGACTTCTTACAAAAAGCCATGGGCTTTCAATATGATTTACTGAAATCTGTTATAGAAAGACTGAAAAATTTCTAGTGTGTGTTTTTCTGACCACACAAGAGAGCCACACAGTTCGAAAAATGTCAAAAAAAGAGAGTATAAATTCATTAGCCCACTTTCTGTAAAAATAAAGTTCAACTACCCCTTCAAACCAACCCAAATATTGTGACCCAAGAATAACTTTCTAAAAAAAAAAAAAGGGGGGGGGGGACAGGGAGGGTGGAGGGAGAGAGAGGAAAAAAACATACAAGGGCTTGCTGTCAAGTCTGAATTTCATCCTGCCAGCTGAGGTGATGCTTACCAGAAATGCCATTTTAACAGGAAGGTGATAAGAGTAAGTGTAAGCTACATGATGATATAGGTGTCAAACTAAGACTTTGGCAAAGATAAAAATACTGCATAAAATCCTAGTGAGAATTTGACTTCTTAACTGATGGAAATGTGTGATTGAATTCTCTAAAAATTCTAGATACAGTTGGATAAGAAAAAATTGAATGAATCTCAAAAAGATGGGTAATATAAAGATGCAAGAGTGAAAGTTAACTGTCTCAAGATTTTTAAAGATCATAAATAGATAAACATAGATAAAGAACAGAAAAGTTTAAGAGCTGAATATCAATCTACTGGGTTTTTTTGTTTTATTTTGTAATAATGTGCTTCTAATAATGGTTTTCATTCCGTTTTGGACCAACATTTTAGAAATAATTGTCTGCTTGGAGGTGAACGTGAAGAATAGAAATAGAAATAGAAAGAACACAAGGCCTCTCCAAAGAATATACACTAGGATGAAAAAGACTCCTGCTCTTAGGAAACAAGCCACTGAAGTAAAAGGTTATTTCCAAAAATTATTTCTTCTGATGCTTCAAAATGATGTTGCAGATTAATATCATTCTTCTAATGGAGATACAGCTGCAAGGTGAAGCAGCAAGGAGGAGAACCACATGCACAAATCAACATGTAAGTGTTAGCACTGCACAGAATCGATGTTTATAGTGGGAAGTCTTGCCTCATTTCATTAAAAGGTGCTTATAACAGTGTCCCGGTTCTGGCACATGCTAAACCACGTCAGACAGACAGGGGCATCATTCTGCACTAAGCTCAGTTTTCAAGAAGTGGTAAAATTGGCCTTAGCAGTCATTAAATAACAAAGTGATGTTGACAATACAAGTAAGCACGCACACAGTGTCTTATTAGAATCTAGGACCATCTCTCCATCCAAAAAATGTAGGTTTGCTTCCACAAGGCAATCCTCCTTTGAAGATTCATGATATGAAGCAATTTTAAAGACAGCTCATACATTTGATAATTTTAATTCTTTTCTCTGCTGCTATGGGGAGTGATGACTAATGTTGAATTTTATCTTGTACTTCTTCCCATTTTAGATGGGAGGAGGCAATGAAGAAAATCTGAAAAGATTTGACAAAAAAGCTGAAGTGTTTCAAGGGAAGAATGGGGATTTTCAGACAAGTCAACTTACCCCTTATCCCATGTAAGGGAGGCACTTATTATACTGGTTTTATAGGAGAAACAGACTATTCTTATCTGAATCAAAGCAGCTTCCTGTTTTTCTTTCCCCTTAGAGATAAATCTAAGCAGCTACCCTGAGCTTTTCTGTATACTTAGAAAGAGGCTAAATAGCATCTTTGCTAGAGAAACTAGGCATCTCACGAATGCACTACTGGTACCATCATTTTTTGCAAGGAGGCAAGATGCTCAAGTCTAAAAACTTGTTCTCAGACACAAAAACAGTTCTTAAGAATTAGACAAAATTGAAAACTAGGTATTCTTTTTACAGAAAGAACAGATCAGAGACTCCTTACATGTCTCCTATAAGAGTGTAAGGTTAAACTAAGTAGAAGATGAAGACTGGTAGAAGATCAGCAGTATTTACTCTCTGATCACTAAGAACTTAGACATGCTACCAAGGACAGTAAGAAGGCACAAAGTGGTGGTTGAAGTTTCTGACTCTTTTACTTAGGTTACGCAGGCCCATCAGAAATTCAATAGAAACTGCTGGTTAAAACAATGGGCTTGAATCCATAGTTCTCCAGAGTAAATTGCAGCAAATGATCAAAACCATTTGAAATAGTTTATTTCCACAATCACCTACTACCAGTTTTACTGAAACAAACAATTCTTTAAAGCAAAACGAAAATCAAACCCTGCCACATACTGTAAGACATCTGCCCAGTTGGTTCCCTTCTTACCTAATATCATAACTCCTAATAGCACTAAGCAATAAGATCTCCAAACAGAAATTCTACTTCATGACTTTATATCTTGCTATCATTTCCTGCAGATACGAGTACAGAGAAATAAAAATGTAAAACGTGATCGAAACAGAATGCTACCATTCTACACTTTCTCAGTAGGCATTAATGCATCTTCAGGTAGCTAAACAATGTTAAACACACTTCTTCAGTATAATAAAAAGCTACATAGCAGTACAAAATTACAGAATTGTACAGTGGACATCAAATACCTGTACTGCTAAAAAAGCAACAGGTGCAGTTTGAGGACAGATGATTTGTTATTATTGAAAGTATTGAGATTAACTGCTGAAGTTTCATCTTAGGGTGTTATCTCAATGAATGAGTCTCTTACCATATTTTTATTAATGTATGTTACCAGAGTAAATTAGCTATGATACTGTCAGTGGAAGAAGCAACATCCTCTTACCTCCTACATACAGCGGAGAATCAAAATTCAGAGTAGATTGCTTGGACAAATTGGTAATTATCTTGGGGCTTCCTCCATCAACAGATAAAGACAGAATCTGATCCATAGCTAGCAGCTCCACAATGTGGAAATTTCCATCATTAATAGTTTCCACACTGCAAAATAAAAATTAATATTAATTTTAAACAGTTGATAGTCAGGTTAGGACAGTCTTTGGTTTTATTCCCCTTTAATAGCTAATACAGCTTCAGAACAGAACTTCTCCAGGAGAGCAGTCTCCTGAAAACTAGATTTTTAAGCAAGGACATGCATGTATGCTTAAGAGCTAATACAATATAATACATGGTCAATAACACTCCATTAATAACACATATTGTAAATTAATAGCCGTTTTTCATTCAAAGTTATTCCTGTCCTCATCAAGTAATGAACTGTGTAAATATAGATGATATTCTAAACATGAGTTGAAATACATTTACAAGGCAGGAAGCTGAAACAAAAAAAGTTGGGAGTTCTTCTGCAACAATGGTCAGAGGGCTGGAGCACCTCTCCTATGAAGAGAGGCTGAGAGAGTTGGGGTTGTTCAGCCTGGAGAAGAGTTGGCTCCAGGGAGACCTTATAGCAGCCTTCCAGTACCTGAAGGAGCCCACAGGAAAGCTGGAGAGACTGTTTACAAGGGCATGGAGTGATAGGACAAGGGGTAACCACTTCAAACTAAAAGAGTGTAGATTTAGACAGAATATTAAAGTAAAAGAAGATGATGTAACAAAGAAATTCGTTAATATGAGGGTGGTGAGACACTGGAATGGGTTGCCAGAGAAGTTGTGGATGCCTCATCCCTGGAAGTGTTAAAGGCCAGGTTGGATGAGGCTTTGGGCAACCTGGTCTAGTGGAGGGTGTCCCTGCCCATGGCAGGGGGGGTGGAACTAGATGATCGTTAAAGGTCCCTTCCAAACCAAACCATTCTGTGATTCTAATGTTATTTCAAGATATTATTTGTGCGTGTGCCTCTGTATGTACATGTGTATCCTGCATATTGCATAGTATTCAATTTACATATTTTGCAAATCTGAAGGCCTGAGTTGACTCCAGTGATATATAAATCTACTATTTCATGGAATATGGAACTGCACCTAACCTTAGTTCTGCCAGACAAAATCACATCATTGGTCCAGACAGCTCCACTAATGCTAGGCATGGTTATTGCTGTGTATTTGGCTTCTGGCTAGTACAGTGAATACTGTATTCATTTTTTTTTTTCTTGCCCACATATACCATTTCCTTCTCCTTATTGACAAAATATGAACCCACTAGTAGGAGAATGCCCAAAGGGTGTCATGCAGGAAAGGCTTGTTTCAAGCACGGTGCTTATGTTGTGTAAGGACAAGCCTACACATGTACCAAGTACAAGAAATGGCTGCATATGCCTACCAGCCTCTGTATCTGCACAGCAAATGTTTACATGCAGGGTAACTACTCTGCACTTGAACACAGTTTAAGTACATCAGAGAAGGAAGAATATTATTACTCAATGCTGGGACTGAATATATCATTGTACTTACATTACTTCTAGCCCATTTTCCACTGGAGAATTAAGAGCTGAATATATGGCTGCATGGGAGTTATGACAATGAGCTGCAGTCCAGAGACCAGACGTTATAAACCATTCCCATGACAGCCTTTATTTGCTTCAGGGCACCACCAAGTAAGTGAGCTTAAGCCTTTGAAAAAAGTTATTTAAATGAACCAATTGTATGATAGCCTGAGATGGACTGAACAGTCATACAGTCAGTTAGCTCTTCTCATTAGGAAAGCAGCATAGCTGAAAGGGATTAGCTTCCTAAATCTCAAGGCAAAAATCAAGCAAATTACCTTATAACATCCTTAGCGATGTTTTAATTAACATAACGGCTTTTGTCCTGGAACAGATCAGAAGAACTCTCATGGCCATTTACAGCTGTGACACATTAAATAGCTTCTTAGCTATTTATTACCAACTCTAACTATGTGGACAGGCTCAGCTCAGTATGGATAAAAGATCTGCATGACGGCATGCACGCTTTACATAAACTCAGCTCTATGTGAAAGTGCAAACACACAACACAGCAGACACTGGCAGAATAAACACTTTTCGGGAGTGGGCAGGAGAGGGACTGCCAGGTTCCATGGGAGGAAGAGAAAGGTCAGGGTTCATCATCCCTAAAGAGTAAGGTCTATTAAAGGTATTAAGAGGTTTGTTTGCTGTGATCAAGCAATAAGAAAAGCGCCAGGATTCATTTATTTAACTCATTTCAATGAATCTGGGAAAAAAGTTGTGTTAAGAAATCAAAGCGCTTATATGACTTCTTGACTTTAGCAAGCAAGAAACTCTACTATAATCTTCTTGTTCCAAGGAAACTTATGCTATTTTACATCTTACTACCTTCCGCACAATAGTATTTAAAAGGATGAGAACAACACAGAACATGCAATTTTACAGCAAGAGGTCATTCCAGGGATGTATAAAACATAAGGTGCAAAGGGAATGTGTCTCTGTTAAGAGTGATTATTAAAAGCTTCTAGTTTAAACTGTTCTACCGGTAAAATTTTACTGCAGAAAGAAAGAGGAGCCCTCCTAAGTAAGGGTGGTTTACATTAAGGGAAAATAAACACAAGGTATATCTCTGCAATATTGCCTGCCAATGCACTTACATCTAGCCCATTTCCCATTGGAGAAATGAGAGCTGAATGCATAGATCCTAATGAAAAGCTGTAAGAAAAACTGATTTAAAGCTTCTTGAACTCCACAGAAGAATAATGATTTGGGAAGAAATATTCTCATATTTCCAATAAATATATGATGAAATCTAGTTTACAGAATGAAAAGTTTGTTTTGTTTTGTTTTGTTTTTGTGTAAAAAACATTTAACATTTAAAAATGGACATGCAGACAGAACAAAACCCAAGTAGATCAACTTTTCCCAAATAACCATCTCCAATGAATTCATTTTCTTTATTGGTCTTGGCACTGCCATCATCTCATCTTGTAACTCAGATTGACTGATGAGTGCTTTTGAGATGAAGGCTCTTTCTGCAGTCAGTTCCCATTGGTAAAGCAGTTCTCATCCATGCTACACAAGCTAGACTGCTGTTATTGTTGATTCTCTATATTTACCATGATTAAATCATCTGTTTGTAACTTTGTTTTCTTGCTACTGCAAGCACCTCTGTAGGCTTTATAGCTCCCATTTGATTCCTTTTCAACACACCATTTCTTGACTGCCACTTATAATATAAAACTTCTATTTGAATCTCTCTATTGGCTGGTTTTTTTGTTTTGTTTTTTTTTTTTTTTTATTTTGGCCTCTGTTTCAGGCATCTCATCACTGTTCAGTAGAATATGACTTGCCTTATTCTTTTTCCTATACTATCCAGGAATCTTCACTTCCCTAATAAAATCCGTAAATGTCTTGATAAACTCCTCAATTTTAAATTTCCTTTCTGTCCTCACTGTAAGCAACTGCCCATCTGAGTCTCCAAACTGTCTATCCTGTTACCAAATCATTCTTAAACCTTATTGTTCTTAAACATTGTGACAATGCTCTTTTGTCTTCTTTATATCTCTCTGATAAAATATAATACATCAATTTGTTTTGTTTTATAATTCATCACCTATTTGTACTGTGTCTGGCTGGGATGGAGTTAATATTCTTCATAACAGCTGATATGGTGCTAATTGTTCTGTAACACTAACCTAATTGTGACTGCTTGTTAATTGATTACTTTGTTATGAATCCCTTCTGTGTTTATGGTTTTTAATTTTACCTGTGTGAGCATTGTTTTCCATTCTTTTTCTAGAAAAATAAAATGGATAAGTATGAATTACCAGTATATATTATATTCCAGTAATACTGGAAAAAATGGTAAATTGATGAGAAGGAAATTCATGTTTTGAATGGGAAGAAGTATTCTCAATAGATTGAATAAATGGGAGCGAACATAACTTGAAATTACATATGATCCTGATTCCTATTGCTTCCTATTCTTAGACAGCTGTACCTATCAAAATAAAAATCAACAAAAATAAATAAACTCCTGACAAAACAATCTAAACTTCTTCTTTAGCACTATCCCAGATGACAGAAAAAAAAAAATCTTATTTTGAATTGTAGTCATTAAGAGAAGTGAATGTTTCATGCAATTTTAAATTCATGTTAAATACCTCAATCTCCTGTAAAGTCAAATCCTATTTTTAATATATGAAAATTTATACAATTAAAATACATATACTATTTCCACATGTTAAACCGTTTCATGGAATTGTATAAGTATTTTAGGAAATACGTATCACATCAGAAAATACAAGCAACCTTAAGATGCTCATTGTAAAAGGCTATGTTTTTACAAAACAACTTTATATTGTATTTTACAGGAACGATTTTTTTTTCCCTGTGGAATGCTTTTACCAATTTACTAAAACCACAGTTCTCTTGGTGTTATTACCTAACAAAGTTTAGCATTGTTTCCCTGCTACATAAACTTAAGCTTTTGATTTTATATCGCCATTTGAGTGCAATAATTTCTAAAAATCATTTACTTTCAATGAAACGTCCCTAATAGAATGTAGAAAAATGTCAGCTGCTACAAACTCCAGCAAGTAAATACATGCTAGATATAATTTTACAACACAAAAGGTGTAAATACAGCAAAAAGAAGATTCAAGAAAAACTCATGTAACACTTCCCCTTTACTTCTGAATGTATTTCTAGCAACATTAGGGCAATCAAGGCCAAGAAGTGATGCCTGCTGTCTTTTTGCTCACTCTTGCAACGTCTGTCTGCAAATTCTTGAGAAGTCATGTAAAACCTCCCTGGAAATTCAGGTGATAATTTTTCAGAGAATCAGAGAAATTTGACTTAAAAAAAACCCTGAAAAATTATGCTGCAGAAGCAGATGTGGATTCTGTCTCATAATGACTTTGAAGCAAAACCCATTTCTTTTTCAAGGGTAATGCCTTTTTTTCAGAATCAAGTTTTTAGCTTTCTCTTCACTTCCCAGGGAAAAGTCCCACATTATATAACTGCCTAACACAGAAGAGAAGAGAAACTTCAATTTCATTTCCGCTTATGCAGTATAGTTCTGCAATTTACCCTGCACACTAGGAAATTATTTGGCAGTAACATCATGGAAAAAAACTCCACTTCCAGATGTGAGCTTTAAACGAATGTATAAATATTCAGCTGAAAGCTAACTCTTACTCAGTTTTAATGGATCAAATATACATTATCTTTCTGACATACCTGCATTGGAGTTATTTTCCAAGCCAAATCATGTCTTTGGCAATAGGTTTTAAATGTCTGGTAATACATTCATTTACATATATTTCTTTTAACCATCTATTAAAAAATGACATTGATATAAGGAATTAATACATGTTTTGTTTCAATTAGAAATTTATTTCATCTGAGTTCACCTGTAAATAGCAGAAGCTGGATAAGACCCCGTGTCATAACTGACCCTCACTCTACCCCGGTACAGTTCTACCGCTATATGATCTTTATCGCCTTTGTAGAGCAGGATCCCACTGTCTTCATCTGTGGCAATCTAGTTAAAAGAAAGAAACACTTAGAAAGAACTAAAAGTAAATATTAAATCAAAATGCTGTATTAAGTGAATCTCTGAATTTACTGCCATAGTCTATTACTTCTTCCTTGAAGGACAGCTTGACAAAATTCTTTCTCTTCCTATCAATAAACCCATCTACTTCAATATGAATACAGAGTTATTCCAATGACTCTACTAGATTTTTAGCTCAAACTGTGAAAAGCTCTTTAAGTGACCCAATGACAACTTTGGCTAATTTTCCACACCATGAAAAGTCATTTACAGTCTTTTCCAGATCAGAATCTGCAACACAAGCAATCTTACCTGTAGAGTGATATTGGTTTGGGGTCGTATCTTAGCTGAAGGGATTTGTAGATAGGATTCTTTGTTGACAAAGTTTATACTGATCAGCTTTTCACATTTCTCACCCTGGTAGCCTGATAAACACTGACAGATTGGTTCACTCTCTTTTATGATACATTGGGCTCCATTTTGACATTCATAATTATCACAAGGGCTGGTGCGAGGTAAAACCATTGGTGGTGAAAACTCACAAAACAAGCCACTAAAAACAAACAGAAAAAATTAGCATTTCCAAAAGAAAGCAACTTTGACATAAGACATACATGTTTGTACTGTCTTCAGATCTTTCTCACCTGTATCCTTCTGGGCAAATACATGTATATCCATTAACTGCATCAGTACACTGTGCTCCATTTTTACATTTGTTGTCCTGGCAGTCATCAAAGTCAATATCACAGTGCTCACCTACATATCCAGGTGTGCAATCACATCTGTGAAATAGGAAAGCAAGTGGGATAGTACCGTGCCTTTTAACAATACAGTGTGCTTATGACAAAGTTAAGGAACTACCGAATTGTTTAAAACTCAAGAAATAAAAGCATTACTGTGACTTTGTGTGTAAAGACTATGTAGCTTAATCATGTTATATGGGGAATCTACATATGTAATGAATACAGGTTTGCTAGTTACACACGGTCACTCATGTGCCATTATATTGAAGAACTGTGGTTTAAATCTAGAGAGCCCTCATGAATCATTTTGACAGTTGGTCTTGGAATTTATGAGTAACGCGGAATGTTACAGGATGTTGTAAGTGACTGTGAACACTAAAAATAATCAATATGCTTAGTTGTTGAAACCGAGACAAATAATCCAAGGCTTCTATTATACTGATGGGTATTTTCTTTGTCAACTGAACAGCTGTGAATGACTGGACCAATGCTCCATTTATACAGTTTAAAGGTTATGCATATTTTTTTCCCCTTGAAGTTCTACCAGCCTGATTTACTATAAATAGCTCCATGGTTAGTGAACTAACAGAAGTCTCGAAACACATCCTCTGCCCTCTGAACTAGAAACAGCATATCCTCAAGGCAGTATATAATGGGTTTATTGGTTTTGTTTTGTGGGTTTTTTTTCCCTGTGCAACTCTCATTGCTAATGCTAGTGGCATTTCTTCAGGGAATTCTCATATATTAGACTGAGTGAATGCCCAGAAGTCTGTGAAAAATGAATGCGAAAGATTACAAACTTGTGCATCCACATGATTTTATTTTTTGAAATTAAGATGTATGTAATTGATTTCATTAGATCTTGTGATTTCCTCCTCGGTGGTGTTTGTTCTGCTATCTAAAATTTGCTCTAAAGTGCCAAGATATTGATTTTAAATAGCTGTGTAACTTTAAATTAAGTATTTCAATCAAATGTCTCAATTTTTACTCAACATATACAAATAAGTGAAAAAAACATTATAACACTATTAAAAAGCTGACTGAGATACATGCTTGAAGTTACTGCATGAGCTAATTTCTAATTTAAAATCTCAGAAAGTAATATGAAAAATTAATGAACTAGGCAGTAAAGTATCAGATGCCAAACTAGGATTACTCAAGTAGCACGAAGAAAATAAACATAACACACAACCATTTAAATCCAACAAATTTTCTATTTTCCAGCTGAAAACTATCAATTTAATTTCATGTTAATTTGAATATTTAATATATTTGACTATTTTCCCCATATTTTAAATAAAATGTCATTTCATAAGTAGTAGGAATGATAATAAATAATCCGATTTTAGCACAAGAGCTTACTGTGCATAAAACAGGGGCTCATGACAACAATTGAAAGCTGCAGGTTTCCTGTATTTATTAACCTAAACCTATTAAAAACATTTTAAATAGTCCATACTAATTAATTATGATAAGGATATGGTGTAATTAAAGATTACTTTTCCTGGGGATGAACTTCTTTAGTTCATACCTTCCGGTGTGCCCTCCTAATAAACTCTTTCACAATTACTTCTCAGAAAGCAGTATAATTATTCCACTTCAATTAAATGCAATTATTTTCCTACTGTCCAAGCTACTAAAAGGGTTTTGTATAGATTGTCGCATAGACTTAATGCTTTATTCTGCATTCCTATTTAAAATCTGACTGGAATTGGAACTGTTAAGGATTAGTAAAATTCAATAAAACATATTTAAGATCTACATGAAAATAATGGCCTATTCTGCAGTAATGCTTGATAATAACTGAATATTTTGAGAACAGAACTTGCTTCCAGTAAAACAAAAGGAAAAGAAGTTGAGCAGGATAAAAAGGTAGAAATTTAGACTCAGTTGGACTGTGACAATATTTTAGACTTACTTGTATCCTTTGGGTGTCAAGATACACTTTGAGTCATGCTGGCAAGGATTCAGATTTTGAGCACAGAAATCTAGTTTCTCCTCACAGAGCTCACCTGAAACATAATGTATGCTTTCAATTCAGTGAAAATATCACAGTGACCTGACGATAGCTGTTTCTGTTTTAAAAGTAACTAACTGCTACAACTTTGTTAAACTGAAAAATGCATACTTCATGATATGATAATAAATGCTACCTTTATAATGAATACTAATAAATAAATATTAATAAATAAACAACAACAATAAATACTAATCTTTCTGATAATGCCTCTATTTAAAAACATTAGTTTGATGTCAATCATCTATCCATGGATATAAATGATAATTTTGTGAAAAAATATTTTTTATTTACAATATTTATCTAGCCCTGTTGTACAGCAAAACACTAGTGATTGATTGAATTCCTTCTTACTAGGACAAACATCCATCAATATGCTTTTCTCTTATTTATTTCTAAGCTCATTACACACAGAAATAGCCAGATTTGCACTCTAAGTAATCTATTACCTGAAAAAACCCTGTTAATATTACTGTATGTCAATATAATTCCAATTATCCCAAAATGAAAACTTGCTTTCTATTTTTTCTTAAATATGACTCTCCAATTTTTACATTTGTTAATGTACCATAATTGTCTAAAATCTATGTCAAATGTCTACCCTTCCCTGCTGCTAGAAGCCTAACAGCGGGTGTAATTTCCAACATGGGCTGTATAATCTATAAAAACATTTTAATATGATTAATGTATTATTTCTTTTGCAACTTTATGACAAGGAAGCACTTACAGGTGTGTAAACAGATCAACAATGTCTTTTTCTCTGACTAACTAATCAGAAGATATCATGAACTCACAAAGTTTATCACTGGTTTGTACGATAGATATACTTATTCCAGCATCCGTATGAAGAATACATGTATAATCAGCAGGTATAAAACCTGTGCCTGATGAATTTAGGGACTCACAAGTCTATCATCAGGCCCTACAACTATGGAAGCAGTAGGGTTGCCCCTTGCCTTTATCAAGTAATAAAAGATGAGCTAGTGAGCAAAGAGAAGTAGAGCTATACACCAAACTGAGGAAGAAAAGAGCAGAAGATAGCAGTGGATGAGCAAATACTTTCACTGCTCAAGCTGAACTTTCCTTCAAAGAGGCACAATATTTGGTAACGCTCAGTTCTAGTTATCTGAGTGTGGTAGTGGTCTGCAGTGGAGTTAGCTGAAGAGTCAGTATCTGCTGGAGGGCAGCCTGAGATTAAAATAGCATATAACGGCTTCACCTCTTTCCTGTAACTGTTAACACAGAACTGAGGACAAGGACAGCATTACCATGAATACAGCATGGGGAAAAGACAGACCATTTAGGGACACAATTTGGGTAGAATCAGGAACAGGTAGATTGGAAAAAGGGAGAAAGGTATAGGATAACAACATTGGAATGGAGATTTTGGAGAGAGTATAGAAATGAAGACACTTTCCAGAATACATATGCATGTGTGTGTATGTGTATCAGGTCATCAGCTGGTACTGTCATTAAGCAATACAGTTTCTGACATTTTACACTGCTCCTTGCCAAGGACCTAGCACCACACAGAAGCTGCCTTCTTGCTTACCAAATGTGTTTACATACTAGTGTTTAAAACTGCGTATCGTGAATATGAATACTGACTATCCAGGACTTGAGACATTATTTCCAGGACTTATCTCTTAGGATATGTAAACTTATTTCAAATGACGGACAAATAAACAAAAACTTGAAAGAGTTGAGGAACAGTCTACATTAAAGCAAGGACAGAGAAAAAGGCAAAACTGAACCAGAACCAAAGATGGTTATGCTGGATAAAAACACATCCGAAACATGTATGCTAAGTGTCATAAGACATGGGACCTTTACATCTTCAAAAATGAGAGGAGAAGCCAAAACTAGCTAAACAAGTACTTTGCAGCCATCCAAAAGATCCAGACTGGTTCTACACAAAGATTTTTTTAAAAAATAAATTGTTAGCACATTACCAATTTGCAAGTAGTGCATTTTCCAAAAAAAGCTTTGAGTTAATGCAAGAAAATGGCCTTCAAGCACAGGCTACTTAACAGTCGTCACGAAAACTGTCAGTAATTATGTGACTTAGTCAATATATGTAGGAAACTGAATGAAGATCAAATGCAGGCCACTGAAGATGACTAATACAAAGAATTTTAATTCTATCCTCAAAGCCTCTTCAAACTCTCAATGGACTTATTAGTCTGGAAATGTGCAACTGTTATGACTAGGTCAGTGCACAAAGAATCCTGAAATACCAGGGATTCTTTGCATCCCATGATATATCAAACAAAACCCAGATCCTTTTCTCTTTTCAAAGGGTTTTGTGCAAACAAGTACATATATAAGAGGAAGTAATTCTTCACATAGCATGTAGTCAATTTGCAGAACTTGTAATAGCTGAAATCCATTTAAAGGCCAGCAATAATTAAGAGTGAGATATAAATATGGGAACAGAGAATTCAGATTTTCAGGAACATGGAGTGGAATAAGCAAAAATCACTGTTTTTTTAACCTAGTTTATACACATTCCTATGGCTTACAAATGTATATATGTGCCTACATGTATGTGTATATATGCATATATGTATATATACACACATACACCCCCTCATACAAATATCTTATTATGGCATATATTCTACATTAAATTACATGCAGAATTGCAAAATATATGACACCTCAATTACAAATAATAAAAATATGGCTGTTCAGTACTCAGAAGACTTGGACAGAACCACCTCTAAACATTCCCAAGATTATTAATTCTAACAGTATATCAGAGACTTTCTGAAAGAGGCAGATAGAGCCTATCTTTCAAGCAGGGCTGGAAGTTTGCTGGCTCTAGTTAGAATCACAGTAAAAGTTCAGTGGAAAATCCCCAAAATACCTAGAAAAAGGCGAATTACCACTAGCATAATAGGAGCAAGCAATCTCACCATTGCTGTCAACTTTACTGAACTAGTATTGATTTTGCTACAGGATAGTAATTGGGCACGGCTTAGATTATTATTGGCACAGACCTCTGAAATTTCTTGTGTGGCAAACAGCTTTATTGAGTAGTGTCTAAGTATGTTCATCTTTTTAATCCCCCCATCCCTTTTCAGATACTTACAAAATACATGATTTCTTAGTTAGAGTATACTGCATTTGGTCCTAATATTTTCTAAATTACACTGAAAGCTGTATCACCTCATGAAAAGCTATGGGGCACTTGAAAAAGTCTTAATTCCCAAGTCACAGCTGTGAATCCTGCATAGAGACTGAGAAGAGAAACAATGATTCAAAAACCCACTTGTCTTTAGAAGACAGGACTTTTTGTGCTGTGACAGCATGAAAGGAAGGAAAGTTTTCCCTTGCATTTGCAAATTGTATGCACTGTGAAATAAGTCAGAGTTATATCACTGGAGGGAGCTTTCAGTTAAACAGTCCATTAGCAACTAGCCTAAGGAAAGAAACAGGAATCAAGAAAAGGACATGGTAGACATAGCGGTCCATGTAGAGAAATAATAATATAAAAACACCCTATGAACAAAAAAAGTCAGTTTTATGTAAAGTACAAACCTTCATTATAAAGAAAGAGTAGAATTCATGACAGACTTGCACACAGGATTAGTAAAAAGAAAAATAAGAAAAATTCAAGATGGAATCCAAAATATGTACATCAGATACTGAATTTCTGAATGAAAATATAAATACGGGAAGAACAAACCAAAATAGCCCAAGTGTGAGGTTTTCATTTGTACTGTTGACAGATTTATATTCTGAATCGTGCGTTCCCATAACCAAAATATAACTGTTTGCAAAAAAAGTTAATAGAAAAGGTACGTAAAAATACGTGACATGGAAGCTGAACCACTGAATAGTTTCCTGGTAAAGCAACATCTCTTTTAATGTACTCAATAACCAATGTATTATTCAGAATTTAACTGAGACGAGGTGAAGGTGTCCTGGTTTCGGTAGGGATAGATTTAATTTTCTTCCTAGCAGCTGGTACAGTGCTGTGCTTTGGATTTAGGATGAGACTAATGTCGATAATACACTGATGTTTTACTTGTTGCCAAGTAGTCAAGGACTTTTCAGCTTCTCATACTGCCCTGCCAACGAGAAGGTGAGGGGTGCCCAAGAAGCTGGGAGGAGACACAGCCAGGATGGATGACCCAAACTGGCCAAAGGGATATTCCATACCATGTGATATCATGCTCTGTATATAACTGGGGGTTGGCCGGGAGGCGGGGCAGCTTTGGAACTGGCTGAGCATCAGCTTCAAGTGGTGAGAAATTGTGCTGTGCATCACTTGTTTTGTATATTCTTTTATTATTATTATTATTGTTAATCATAATCTTCCTTTTTTGTCCTATTAAAATATTTTTATCCCACGAGTTTGAGGTTTTTTTCCTTTTCGATTCTCTCCCCCATTCCACTACAGGCAGGGGAGTGAGTGAATGGCTGTGTGGTTGTTTTACCTGCTGGCCAGGTTAAACCGTGACAGAAAGGGAGAAAGTAATTTTGTTGAAATGAAAAGATAGACAGTGATGAAAGTGAAACACTCATTGAAGGAAATACCAGATTTACCAAGTTAGGCTCCTTGGCTTTACTGGAACAAAATGTTAGAGTTCTCTGATTTGGGAATCATAATACAATGTTTTAAAAACCATACTTGAAAATAATAAAAAAAGATTGTGAAACAAATGTCTCAATTCAAGGCAGCTTGACACCAATGTGTATGTAAATTCTTTTATTAATCTAATAATATTGTAACTGAGGCTTCTGTAAGAGCTTGGCTCAGTAATTATGTTTTTGAAAGATGGGAACATTTCTGTATGTAAGAAAATAAGCAACAGACTAGTTTGTTTAAAAATAAGCAGTGGATAAAGTGTCAAAAAACCTATGAAAAGCTTCCAAAGTTTAACTAGAACCAGCAATAACTCTTTTCATGAGACATCTTGCTTAATTAATCTAGGGAGTCTGGATTCTGGTATGGAATAGCACTGCAACCAGCGGAACTCTGCGTGG